GCAGTCTGGGCGACAGAGTGAGACTCCAACTCAAAAAAACAACAACAACAACAACAACAAAAATAGCACTATAAACTTCAAAAAAGTTTTAATAAAGTATATGAAATATATGATAAAGATCACAAATCCTGTTTATAGTGCAATGATTTTTTACATATATACATACCTAAGTAAACAACACAAAGATAAAGATACAGAATATTTCTAGTATCTCAGATGCCCCTTTTGCCCCTTCCCAGTCCACATGCTGTCAGAGGTAACCACTGTTCTGGGTTCTTTACGGTTTCATTTCTGACTGTGGAATCTTATATATTAACTTTATTTTCTAGTAACATTTGGTCAGGCACCTTTTACTAGTTCAGTTAGTAAACTACACTGTTCAACATTTATATTATTGCTATCTACTTTCCCATCTTTACTTCGGTCACATTTATTCACATCTTGCTAAAGACATTTTTATTAGAACTAATTTGCATCTCTTTACTACAAATGAAGGGCAAATGGTCTTAATTTTACTTTCTATAACACTGCTTAATTACATTGCCACCTCTGTTGTCTACCGCATACCTTCTTGCTTGAAATCAATTTCCAAAAAGTAACAACAGATAAAAATACCATATACAAATTCAAACTTCAATGTTCCTGGTTCATTAAAAAAAAAAAAAAAAAAAAGCAACCTTAGTACAAACACCTCCTAATACATCTCAGACTTCTTCTAGACAAGCATATAACCACATGCAATAGTTAATAACCAGAAATTTATCCACTATGGAGGAAAGATATACTAATACAATGGAATGTCACACTGATACTAATAAAAATACCCAGTAAATATGAGGAAAAATCAGATATGATAAGTTTAAAAAGTTCCAAAATGATAGGTAATGAAGGCAACAGAGCGAAATATTCAAGTATTAGACTGATTTTTGTGTTGTAGTTTCCAGTTTTATTCTATTTACTTTTTTTGGTTTCACTCTGTCACCCAGGCTGGAGTACAGTGCAGCCTCAACCTCCTCGGCTCAAGCAATTCTCCTGTCTCAGCCTCTGGAGCAGCTACAGGTACATGCCACCATGTACAGCTACTTTAAAAAAATTTTTTTGATAGAAACGAGGTCTCCCTATGTAGCCTAGGCTGATCTCTAACTCCTGGCCTCAGCCTTCCAAAGTGCTGGGATTACAGGTGTGAGTCACCTCGCCAGTTCCCATTAGATATTTCTATTCAACTTACTGTTTAGTCATTAGCTCAATGTATAAAACATTTAACAAAAACCACACATTCGGGACCACTGTTTCATTTTCACAGTCCATTCCAAATCAAGAGTCAAGACTATAAGACTGGCCGGGGCTGGGTGGTTCAGTCTGTAATCCCAGCACTTTGGGAGGCTGAGGCGAGTGGACTGCCTGAGCCCACATGTTGGAGACCAGCTGGGACCACTTGGTGAGACCTCGTCTGTACAATACATCAAAAATTAGCCGGGCATGGTGGTGCGCACCTGTAATTCTGGTTACTTGGAAGGCTGAGACGGAAGGATCGCTGGAGCCCAGCTGGTCGACGCTGGGGTGGCCACGAGCGTGCCACTGCACTCCAGTCTGGGCGACAGAGTGAGACTTCAATTCAAAAAAAAAGACTGTAATATTGACATTGTGTATCGTGATGCAAGTTTTGGAACTCAAGGATCTTCTCTCTCTTTTTTGAGTCAGAGTCTCACTCTGTCACCCAGGCTGAAGTACAGTGGCACAATCAAGTTCACTACAGCCTTGACCTCCTGGGATCAAGTGACCCTTCCGCCTCAGTTTCCTCAGTAGCTGGGACTACAGGTGTGCCACCACACCGCACATTTTTTGATTTTTTTTTTTTGTAGGATGAGGTCTTGCTCTGCTGCTCAGGCTGAAGGATCTTAACTTCTTTAGTTGCTGGCATAAGGTATAGATTCAATTAACATTACATTTCCTTCAAATTTGGCCAGTTACTCATTTCTAGGAATCGGTCTCCATCAGATTACATATAAATATCCACTTTAAACAAAGAGATAATTGTTTCATGAGTATATTAATTAAAGGTAGATTGGCAAATATCACAGTTTGGCCCCCTTTCTCCTGCCAAATTAAAAGATCAGAGAGAACATTACACCCTATGGAGACTGAGCTAGATTAGATCAAAGATTTTGGATCTAAACATTCAGAATAATTTAATGGAGTCCCCCTATATAAAATCATGGCAGTTTCAACACTGGGAACTCTTCAGCCTCATTCTTCTTACTTTAACAGAACATGACATAAAAGTATTGAGTGCCTGGCATTGAGAATACAAAAACAAGTAAGAGAATGTTGGTACTGTGAACATTTCTTCATGTTTTCTAAACTTTAAAGGTTCTCAATAGAAAACAGACAATTAAACGTTAGAAAGAACATCCAGCATTTAAGAGAAAAATTAGAGCAAGGAAACATATTACAGACGTAAGTCCAAATTAAACTTTCTTGGAATCACTTCAGCGACCTCAAACACAGACACAGAGATAATATTTAAATCCTTTTTGGGGCAATATGAGATTATGATGAAAAGGGACTTTTATTTCGTCCTCAAAAAGGCTGCCGTGTAATTTGAAAGAGTTCTCTAACTTAAAGCATACTTACAATTCTTTAACTTACGGTAACAGAAAAAACTAAGGCATTTCATAAAGCTTTTAACATTTAAAGTTTGTTTTTTTTTAATCTAAGGAAGGTAACGGCAAGTTCCAAAACGGCTCGTTTAGGCAATGCTTTAGAACAATGTTATGTAATTAATACAATGGAAGTATAGAATTTTATGGGAAAGGGTCGTTTTCTCCAAATGAAAGCGATGGAACCCAAATAATCCCTGACGTTATTCAAGAGAGAAACTGTGAAAGGCCGAAGTTAGCTCTGCCAATCACCCGAAGGGAGCAGCATACTAACCCAGGACCCCCGCACAGCCCTCGGGGGCAACAGGGAACGGCTGAAGCAAGAGCTCCACCTACTGATCCACAACACTTCCTTAAACATTTTGGCACCCCAAGTCTACCGTGATCGCGCTCTCTCCCTCTCCTCCACTCGCTATGACCCAACCCAAATCTAGTTGAGTCACTAGCTCTTAATACTTATCCCCATGCTCTTTATCCCACTTTCTTCTCCCTCCAGAAGGTTCTGCACACGGCCCCTAAGTGGGAATAAAATGGAAAGGTGTCCAAGACGGCAGTTCCGGCGCCGAGCCCGGATGAGACGAGGACCCCCCCAGACCACTCCACCTGGAGCGGCGGCCCGAGCGGCCCAGCCGCCGGCTCCCCGGCAGGCGGCCCCCGGCCCTCAGAATCGCCGTTCCCTGTTGCCTCCCTCAACCACACGGGTCCCCCCGGGCCGAAATCCTGGGTTCCGCGGGTCCCGTCCCCGCTGGCCCCGCAGCCCGCCAACAGCCAGAGCCGAGCCTCCGCCCCCTCTGGGAGCTGAGCGAACCGAGGAGCCTGGAAATCTCCCCCGCCCGGTCTTCGCCCGGACTCTCTCCCGCTCCGTGGGCCCGAGCCCCTCCACCAAGCCGGCTAGGCCTTGCCGGGCTGCCCTTCCTCACCCTTTCATCTTCCCCGCCTGCTGAGGCCGTCGTTATCACCGCTATCAACGCCGTCGCCGTCGCCGCCCTCAGCTCGGGCCACTCAACCTTGCAAGCCGGCCTCCTCGCCTCAGGCAGGGAG